TATATATATATATATACACACATACATGTATATATATGTATGTGAAAAAATGCAAGCGTATACATGTATATCTTGGCTGTGTTTCAAAATTGATTTCCAGCGAAAATCAAGAGACAGTAATATCTCTGTGCTAATATGTGCAGTCTACAATTTGTACATTATAGATTTTCAACATTAGCAATGTAAATTTTGGAACATAGCCTTATAATTAATAAAGAAAATGAAATAAATTAAATTATTAACATTTCAGCTTTTACTCTCGTGGAATATGTTGATGTGACTTGGGTGAAATACATGTGGTGGGTATATCTTATAGGATTGATATGGACATCGGAATTTATTATTGGATGTCAAGGCATGGTAATATCAGGTTCTGTTGCTCACTGGTACTTCAGGTAATATTTATAACAAATTAGTGTAGAATATATATGTAGACATATTTATATTCGATATGCTTTAATAATAACCAATTTCTCTCATTAGGGATAAAAACGCCAGCTCATTTCCAGTATGTTCATCCATAGGACATTTAGTTTGCTATCACATGGGTTCTGTAGCATGTGGATCACTTTTGATAACTATGTTTAAGTTACCTAGATTGATTTTAACATATTTGTATGCTAAGTAAGTTTTTTCGTAAAAGAAAGCCAAATATTCATCACTTTTTATCAAGGATTTTTTGGTTTTTGATTACATCCTTGATTACATGTCATTTTTTTATTTTACAGATTCGAAAAAACTAAAGAAACATCTCCATGCGCTCAGTGTGGTTTAAAATTCTGCATTTGCTGTTTCTATTGTTTGGAAAAATTCATTCGCTATATGAATCATAATGCATACACTGTTGTTGCTATAGAGGGTACCCACTTTTGCAATGCAGCCAGAATAGTATGTTCCAGTTTTAAAGTTTTATATCTATCTTTATAGAGACTAGACAATAGAAATAAATAAATAAATAAATAAATATATTTTATAATAAAATAATATACACATTTTATTAATATAATAAGATATGAATTTTTTGTATATTTTGTAATTTCTTTAAGGCTTATGCAACACTTGTCAGTAATGCTCTTCAAATAGCAGTGATCAATGGATTTGGCGATTTTATATTGTTCTTGGGAAAGTGTTTCGTTACAGCTGCAACCGGAAGCATTGCATTACTTTTTATGAGACAAAACCCGGAGTTACATTTTTACGCTATCCCGATTTTTGTTATTTGCGTTTTCTCGTTTTTCATTGCTCATTGTATAATTTCCCTTTACGAAGTAAGTTAAATACACATATACCAACATATTTCATATGAGAATGATTTTTATTAAATGATATCTTTTATAATAATTTAGACTGTTATCGATACACTATTCTTATGTGTATGCGAGGATAAGAATTTAAACGGTGAAAATGGAAAGTGGCGTCAGTCTGCATTAGCACAAATCGGAGCCTCTAGCAGTAACGCAAACGGACAACAATCTCACGAAATGACACCAATAAACGGATAAGTATCCGATATTTTAGACATCTTTTTTATACACATTTTTGTACACATATTTTTTTATATGATAGAATACTTACTCTTGCATTTTATCACTAATAAGATTAATAAGAGTACATTCCTCTTTCGTTCACGCGTGCAATATTTATATTGTTATGCAAACAACCTTACAATAATTTGTCTCAAATTATTTTTATAATAACTAAAAAGAAATATTTAAATTATATGAAAATATGATTCATTCATAATATATTTTTAATATATGACGAGATTTATATTAAAATAAGAAAGATATATTATAAATAAGTGAAATACTTTTTGTTTAATTGTGTGTGATTTCATAATATCAATTTCTTTTTTCTCATAGTATTTAAGAATGAACTCATTTCTTAAGACTACAGGTCTTCTTTTGTGATAAATCATGTCAGAATATTCTGAATTATTAGTTATACTTTTTGGTATCTCAAAAAAATATTTGGAGATATTTGGTAATGGATATTTGGTCTTAATTGACATGTAAAATATTCGTAATTGCAAATGCCTTACTATTTGATAATGTCGACGAATTATGATTATAAAACAGAAAATAATGTGGTGTCAATTAATTGCTCACTTTGAGATTTAAAATCCATCTTGTATTTAGCATTAACTTTTGATTTAACTGCCAGATTTTAAGGTATTACAGAATATTTTACAATATTCATTAGAATCATTGAAAAAGAGGTTAGATTATGATATTATATTTTATAAGAATTTTTTCATTTTATGGAATATATGTTTTACTCAGTACTAAATATTTAATTGATGAATAAAGATAAAGACTAGGTTAGATTTTTATCTTTTCTCTAAACTTTCATTGAAGTGCCATTGCACAAATTGAAAACTCTGTGTCTTAAGAATATTGCTTGTATAATAAGGGAATAAGAGTAATAATATTTTTAGATTTTAAGCGTACGTATAAAAAAAAGCGAGTGCAAGTCAATAAAGCTATAAAGTACAATTATCCTTTACAAAAAAACGCATTTTAATGCATTTATATAAAGTGCAATTGTTTGTAGTTCAAGAAATTGTTAACACATAAAAGATGGCTTATTTATTATACTAATGAAAAGAATTGTTCCTTTGCTAATTGCAAAATGAAAAATCTATTTTCTAAACTTTACACGTAAGTTTCATTCCTTCCAATCAAAAAGTTTGAAATAAAATAATTAGATGTCCAATGTTCACACTTAGATAATAAGAGGCTTTATACTTCGATGTACAAAATATATATTGTTAGATATTTTAATACAATGTATTAAGCAAGTGCTTGTGCGAGATAAATATATAATTAAAATATATATCTAATTGTAAGTTTCTAAGATATATTTAAAGTATTTTAGATTGATAAATTTGTGTACTAATAAATATAACATATTAATGACGAAGTACAAAGCAGTATGATTCAACATATTCTAAATATTCAACGATATTAATAACATATTGTATCGTGTTGTATTAATATTTTTTTTAAATTACACATATATATGTTTGTGATTGAAAACATTTGTATTAATAGCTTTAAATTATTTTATTATTAACTTGAATAATTTACGGGCACAATACTTGCAAAGAAAAGGCAATTCAAAATTAGTTATGTATGTACTTAATAATATTATACACATGTATGTAAATATATATATGTACATGAGATTATTTAATTAATTTTCATGAAATTGTCATATAAATAATGTAAGAACTAGAAGATTTTTTATCACTTTCCTCTTTCTTTATATTTATTTAAAAATTCTCATTATGTTAAAGTTTTATTTAATGATAGATATTAAATAATTCCATTATACAAGAGAAAACATCTCTCATTTATCATATTAAAAATATATTTTGTTAATGATATTACAAAATAATATTCATTTCTTCTTTTTTGAAGCTTTTGATTTTACAGATTTTGCTTTTTTAACTTTTTTAGCTACCACGGGTTTCTTTTTTATCTTTTTCACTTTATTTTTCACAAGCTTTTTTGTATTTTCATTTTTATCCGTCTCAAATTTTTCTTCCATTTCTATTGCTTTTTCCACTAAGTCACCCTTAAATATTTCATCTATGGGATTAACTGCATATGATAAGTCAGGTTTATTTGCCTGTTGTACCATTTTCTGTTCCACTCTATTTATATACTTATTAGCAGCCTTTTTTGCTAATGATTGACGAAGCTAAAATTTTTTATAAATTATAAGAAATATTGTATAAATAATGCAAAAAACAGATCATAATGCATTTATCAAATATAAAATAAAACTGTTCTATTACCTTGGCAGGGGAAATATAATTGGGATTTTCCCATAAAGTATCACTGCCGAAACTTCCACTAAATATCTTGACTGGATTCAAAACAAATCTTGGACCAATTTCGGTTAATGCACCATCCTCTGTTAAAATTTGGAAGTTTCGGAACCATATCCTGTTGTCTAGAACAGTGAATGTGTATACATGATCAAAGAATGGTTGACTTTTAGGATGATGATTTGGTACACCAAAAATCTGTGTCAGTAATTCCTTCAAGAGAGAATAATGCGCATGTGTGGTGAAATTTTCATCAAATGATAATAATGGCCGAGATCCTCTCAAACAATTTCCTGTCATTTTCAATTCTCCCATTGTATAAACTACAAATAAGTTTAATATACAATTATACAAATTATGTATAAATATATACATTGGCTCCATATATTAAAAATTTATTAATTTTTTGGTATAATATTTACTGTTTTCTATAAGAAATTTTGCACTTGGACCAGTGGGTATATTAGCGAACCACATGTAAAGATCCCGCTTCATTCGACCTTCAAACAGGATAGCTTTGTTACAATTTTTCATTTCACACATCTCGTTCACTACTTGTAAGTTCTTGGTGCGTTCCATCTTGCATTCTGGACGATGGTGTGGCATCAGTTTTTTTAAATCTTCCATGAGATGTCGATGCCTATAATTGATACCTCGAGTAGCAAATATCAACACTCGTTGCCTGTTGATCCATTTCACCTACAAGAAAAAAATTACTCCAATTTTCTTTTTCATTAAACAAATGTATACAAAGAGTAACAGTAAAGATTATAGAAAACAGTCACAATAATTTTTTTTTTTTTTAAATTATTGATTAACTTAACTGATTTTGATTAAATATGTTTTCTAAAAAGAAAATATTGATATGTTTTATATGTAATTCTTTTTCATTAATTAGTATTTTACAATATTAATTATATTGAGTAATTTAGTATAGGTTATTTGCAAACCTTTTTAGCGGCTGGTTCATCTGCCACTTTTTTTTTCGGTTCATCTTCTTTCTTCACATCTTCCTTCTGCTTTCTCTTTAACATTTTCTTCGTCATTATAAGAATAAACGAAATAAATGGTAGCAAGAAAAATAAATAATCTTCAATTACACTCGCAATAGAATTACTCACAGGATTCACGTGGATGCACAACTCACGAATTAAAAAGGTCTGTTCTTTTTGGCTGAACTTTTGCACCAGTTCATCTTTCAACCTCTTCTTTCCTGCTGGAGAGAAAAAGAAAAAAATGAATTGGAGAAAAGAAGAAAAAAGATGAACTGCAATAGTTCAATCAAAAAGAACAGGTCTTATTTCTGCATTATCTAAAAAGATGAATTGATGCATTCAAGTGCATAAGTCAAAGTGAAACAGAGGTATATTTAAGCCTATTCTTTTTGGCTTAAGTTCATCTTTCTTCTTCTTTCTTCCTGAAGAGAAAAGGAAGAAAGATGAATTGATGCAAAAATTCAGCTAAAAAGAACAGGCCTTATTTCATTTCAACTTATTGCATCGTATTGCAGTATGTCAGTTTCAGATAGTGCACGAATAAAGAACAGATCTAAGAAGATGAAAACTCGAGAGACGAAAAAATTGAAAAGTATGCTCGAAAAGCGGCTTGTAGGGAAAATTCAAAGTATTGATTGTACCATGATAACGTGATAAATTACATATGTATGTACATTTTATTTTTATTGCGGAAATTCCAATTGTAATATTTCGTTTTATTTTGTTAGACGGAGACTGTGTTCCAAAATTTACTGCCAACACTGAAAATCTATAGTGCACGTGACGTAGATTTTCAGTACTTGCAGTAAATTTTGAACACAGCCGGAGACTCTGACTTTTGATTAGTCCGCTATTTCCTAGTCATTCGCATTAATCGGAGCAAGATAACACATTTTTTTCCTCACGCTACAGAGCGAGATAGAATATATCTTTTCTCACTCGCAAGATTTGGCTACAAAATGGATGACTTTTTTGATGGCTAATTTGGAAGTCGAGTGTGGATTTTAAAAGGAGGTAAAAATTACAAAAGTGAGCAAAGATTACTATGTATTGATCAATTAAATTATGAATACTTTAATGAATTTGCTCACTTTTATAATTTTCACTTTACTTCGAGATACACAATCGACCTCTTGACAGAGGACCTCTATTGTGCTATAAAGGAAGTTTTCCAGCAAGAGATACAAATTGACACAAGAGTCATTCTTCTATCCTTGTTCAATAATCAATAAGAAACAAAGACGGAATGACTCTTGTGTCGATTTGTCTCTGCTGGAAAGCTCCCAAAATAATTTTCCAAAGCCTGAAATCCAGCCCAATTTTTTCGCAATCGGCCTGCTTTCCTTTGCTTTCTTTTTCTTCGTCGAATCGCAGTTTCCTATAATTTAGAATAGGAAAAGCTCGTTCAATATATTATAGACAGAAGAAAGATGCATATAATAGCAATTCAGAGTAATCAGCTAGCCAATCAAATTTTGTTTTAATCCTACATTCTTCAAGTTGTCTCACCTGTCTTTTTCCACCATGGCGGTATTATTCACGAATGAAAACATATCAGCTGATAACGGAATACCGGTAAAATTCGTACAAACTTGACTAAAAATTTAAAGAATTCAAGAAATCCAGGGAAAATCGAAACGAGTTCGATTTATCGACGATTTCATAAAGAGGGTTTAAAAAGAATCAAATGGCGAGGACTCTAACGATGGCTCTC